AGGGTAGGAGGAGTGTGGGGCGGGGGGGAATCATGGCCAAGATAATAACGTTCCATGTGGATGCAAAGGGCTTTTACATTCATTCAAGTAAGAATTAGTGGCGGATGGCAGGAGGAGTGTGGGGTTTTTGTTGGGGTGGGGTGGGGGAGAGGAACCATGGCCAAGATAATAACGTTCCATGTGGATGCAAAGGGCTTTTACTTTCATTCAAATAAGAATTAGTGGCGGACGGCAGGAGGAGTGTGGGGTGGGTGGGAATCACGGCCAAGATAATAACGTTTCTCCTGTTGCTTCGCGGAGAGGTTTTGCATCGGTGGCACTACCACCATCTACTACTACTACTACTACTACTACTACTACTATTACTATTACTACTACTACTACTACTTCTACTACTACTACTACTACTACTACTACCCGGGTCATCAGTTTCTTCTTTTGGAAATGTTTTTGGTTTTGGTTTCCTGGTTTTGGTTACCGAATCAGGCGTCGACCGTTTCGGGGCTCCGTTAGGCCTTCGGCCTCTCCGGTGGCTACGCCTTGGTTCCAACCTTCAATGGCACAGTGGGAGTACATGTGGACCCCAGGCGGAGATGGAAACGACTGAAACACATCGATCGAAGCACTCACTTTGGAACAACCTTACAGCACAAGCATATGCAGCATGCTGTTGTTTCGCAGCTTTGCAGGTGACGAGATCAAAAAGAAAAGGGTGGGAAGGACGAGCAGGAGAAGATGGACGAGAAGGCGAAAGGTGAATGGATTGAAGAAGATCACCGTCGACGTCACTGAACCTGAGGGCATCTCAAAAACTTCAAGATGCTTCAAGACTCTTCGGACTCTTCGGACTCAGATCTCCAAAGTTGACCTCTGGATGTACGAGTTGTGACCTCTTCCTACGAGTTGTGACCTCTTCCCGACCCGTGTTTCGTCAACATCGTCTTCTGAATGGCCTCGGGTCATTTCTCCCGTCACCGCAACAGTCACGGAGTCTCCGCACGAGATATCCTCGCGATTTAGACTAAGCGATTGCCAGTTTGTCGAAGCTAGACTGTGGCCTGTGCACATTGGCACAGCAAGCAGTAGCACAGCTTGCGTTTTGTACGCTTTCCATTATGTTTGATTTGGAGAAAAAGGCAGCAGTGGATTGCATGTGCTTGCATTTGTGCAGTTTTGCGAGCGGTTGAGTCTAGGGCCTAGGGCGAACTTGATGCTGTCAATGAGCGTTCCTGCCTGTCACAACGTCGCAGGTTATCACGACGGGGCTTGTGAAGTCCAGTGTGACGGCCTTAGAGATTCAAAGACGTGATGTACCATGATCCTCATCAATCCTACAACAGTAACAAGTGCATCGCTACTAGTAACAAGTGCCTTACTACTAGTAACAAGAAGCTATTAGAAACACATTTGGAGCTTGAGTTGTTCTGCACTTTGGACTTGTGTAACAGGTGAGGCAAGGATGGTGGTGATGTAGTGAATTCAGTTTTAGGAGAATCTCTTTTTCGTACTCTTTAAATGTCAACGTCCTTTGCTTGATTTTGCTTCATTGCAGACTTTAAGAGCATTTGTGTGCCGCTGCCTTTGTTTCGGGCAACTGCACACCTCCAAGATCCAAAGGCCTTTGTCATCAGCGAGCCGCTCAGCATTCCGGTGGCTCCTGGGCAGGTGCCGCTCTTTTCTGCAAAGGAGACATGGAGCTGCGCAGATTTAAGAAACGCATGCTGCGATCGAGCGACAGTTTGTCGAGGACCCCACAAAGCGTGTGGCAAGAGCAGTGCTAAGCATCGGACGGCTTTTTTCCGCCGAAGCGCAGGAGGGGAGCTGTGTTGAAAGCTGAATGCAAATGCCACACCGTTTGGTGTTGGACAATCACACGACATCATGGAGACCTAATGATGGATATATAGTCTACTACAGTGCAAAACAAAAATTTACAGAACAGATCGTTTATAAACAAATGAATATATTTAAAATATATATATATATAATAATCCAATTGAAATAGATTTAAATAAACACATTTCTCTTTTGAGCTGCAGGCCGTGATGGCAAGAAGTCTTGCCCAGCGGGTTGTCGCATTGTTGCGGGAAGGCGAACTTCGGTGTAGAACCGAACGGGATAGGGCAAGGCGACGAATGGTGTGAACACCGTGTACAAACACGATGTGAACACCGTTACGGCGTGCACATGCTGTGAAACAAAGTGACATAAATTAAGGTCGGCATCGCTACTAACAAGGGTGCTTAGACCGAACATGGCGCATTTGGGCGCAGCCAACGTGCGCCAGGCCCCGGACCGGAGCTTCACCACGCTTTGGATGCTTTGAAGCACGGGGACACGATAGACAAAATGAGTCCCTTTTTGGGTCGTGTGGGACTACAGAAGAAACATGAACAACATGCAGTAAATTGTTCACATAAGTTCTTATCCGATGTCTTCTCAAGTTTATTTTAGTGTTTTGTGCAGATGTATTCGGGTGTGAGCTGGGTGTCGATGTGTGCAAGCATGCCCGAACATGCATTCCGGGAATCTGATACGGGTGCGGAGCAAAGCCGCTGACGAGGCCTTCCAGAGGTTGGTCAGCCGCAGCAGGGATCCCACAGGCACTTCAAGGGCAAAAAGCGAATCCGTTTGCCTCACCTTCCAGGTGAAACAAAACTCTTGAATCACTTAAACTCAGCACGGATAAAAATTCTGCACGCTAGTCTCATCATGCCCTGACAGTGATAGTCCCAAATTGTCCATTCAGAAGAGTTCCAGGCGCTTGCATCCGTGGAGACGAAGGGAAGGACGGACCTTCTAAGATGGCCCTCATGTCGAATGGAGATGGAGATGCATGATTGAATTACATGCTTGGGAGATGTTGGAAGATGCACCGGAGTTTGTAATGGTGTCAGTTTGTTGGTCCTTTGTCCTACCTGCAAGTCTCGCTTCGGAAGTTCAAGAGATCCAAACTGGCGTTTCATGGCTTTCAATAGCAAGACGTGGCTCCAGGACTGCCATGCGTTTAGCGGTGGATGGCGGACATTGGGAATTCGTCCAACGTCTCCTTGAGGTTGGATATGCCGTATTGGCCACTTGATCACCGACATTGTATAAGGATTAATTGTGTTTGTAAAACGATAGGTTTTTTCAGATGTTTCAATATGTGTGAAGCTCATAGTTTGGGCAATTTGGGGCAGCACGCTGCAGATATTTCAATCGACGCTTGTCAACAGCTCCGAGAGGCTTGTTGCAGCTTGCGCCGCACATCACAGGATTCAAGTCACTTGAATTGACTTGTGTAGCCTGAGGAGGGCTGAAGAGGGTCGAGGGTTTGCCTCGTAGGAGTCAGTTTCTTTGTTGTCACCGTTGTCACCATCTCACGCTTTAATCCAGGACTTGCGTTCGCCCTTAACAGCAGCTTTGGAGAAGGGGCATGTACAGGCTGGTGTGAGTGTCCAAATTCTTGTCATGCTTGTCCCCCAATATCCAAATAGCTTGGAATGGCCCGGGTTTCGATATTTGAAGCATCATCAAATTGACTGAGGAACTGCAACTGGATAAGCTCGGGTTCAGCCCAGAGCAGCAGCAGCTAGCAGGTGGCAGTACAAAGACAAGAAGCTGCGCTAGTTGTATGTGACATGGAAAGGCACCAAGATATGCTTTCGTCACAGCCTTTGTTTTCGCAACCATGACCTCATGCAGAAGATTGTGGTATATATGTTGAGGAATATGGGCTCATGGCACTAGCAGCTCGCAACAAGCAGCACAAAGCAGTTGTTGGAGCAGCCGAAGTTGGGTGTAATCGGATGAATTTGGTTTGTCCAAATGAAGTGTGCAGGTGAGCTAAGCACTGCACTGCAAAAGACAGAAGAAATGGAGGACCCAACTTGGAGTCACAGTTTGCCTGAAAAAAGTAACTTGTCCACATTAATATTCTCAGAGACGATACCCTATGAAATTTGCAAGCACATGATCCTGACAATTCATTTGCAAACACAGGGTGTTGGAGCTGGATTGCCCTTGGCCTTGTAGACAAACAAAAGCCGTTTGCACATCAAACGATTGGGAGTCTAACTGTCTTCTCAAGGAGCTAGCACCACATTTGGCCTTCCACTTTGCACCTGATATCGCCAGTGGTGGATTCGGTGCCAGACTAAACCGGAAAATGAGAGTCAAAGTTTGCAAAGTGACAGATCATGTGTCAAGATGTGTCACCCTCCTCAAGGTGCTTCACCCAGTGGATCACCACGGTTCTAAGCTCGGGTTAGCTATGTGTCTATGCGTGGTTTTCTTCGTTCGTTCCGTAAGCTGAGCTGAGAAGCTCGACTCACTTCGGATCGATTGGTCGTTCAACTCGCTTTGTACTTTGATTGCTTCATGCTACTCGTAGCGATGCACTTGTTCCTAGTAGTAATGCCAGGAGCTAGTAGCTTGTTGTTACTAGTAGTAAGGCGCCTTGCTACTAGTAGCTTGTTACTAGTAGGCTCAAAAAGCCACAACCCAAAGTTCTACCCAGGTCAAATGTGCCACCGCTTCCACGTGAGGTCGGGAGTTCTGACTTTCACTGTCCAAAAGTCTCACTGCCTTTGAGGGAATTGAATCTCTTGCATGGCTAAGATGTCATCTTTGAGGATGCAACTGGCCCGTTTATGCTATCAAATTGCCACCCCCTTGAGTGGACATGTTCCGAGAGGTGCATGGTTCATCATATAGTTCTGAGATGATATTCCTTTCTGTGTCATTCATGGTCATTTTTGATAGGATGATGTGTTCTTTCAAAATGATGATGAGGCATGGCATCAGAGCAGTGTATGAATCTGGATCATGGAAGCAGGAACTGGTGTGTTCTTTGTCCCAGGGGTGCGGTTTGTTACCGGGGCTGACATGGTTTGTGTTCCCAGTGTGATGGAAATTGCACACAAAAATTGGTTTATTTCCTTGAACACTGATTGTAGTAGATGGTTGATGGAGACTCATACATCTCTCTGGCAGTCTCTCCTATAATCGTGTAGAAGATGCTGCTCTCAGGTTGGGACTTGAACCCCGACGAAAGAAAGCCTTTCGACACTAGCATCCAACACTGACTAGTCTCGAACTCGAAGGTGTTAACACTTACGAACGCTTATTTGATTGCAACTCAAATAGCAGGCCCTCACCACGTCACCAGTTGTTCGATGCCCAGCATGAATGCTCTCGGGAGTCGTCGGGAGTGTTCAACCCCTTTTTCAGTTTATCTCCATTTGAGTGCCACCTTCTTGCCGGAAGGCATCGCGAACGTCAGTGAAAGTGGAATGGCCTCACTCTGAGACAGAAAAGAAAGGAAGAAGGGAAAGGAATTGTCTAAAGGCATCTAAAGGTCTTAGAACAAAAAAGCGTAAACATGTAAAGTATGTGTGGAAAATCTCCGGGACGCCCAGGTCACCCGATGTTTTTGTCCTCGCATTGGACTACTGCAAGACGGGGACAGGTGGTTTGTTGGTGCATGTATGCATTAGTCCGGTAGCATGCAATATCGATGGCGACAATCTGTAGATAAAGTCAAAATGTGGGCGAACGGGTGCATTTAGAAGCAATCTGAAACAGGCTAGGTGTTGTACATCCTAGTCCTGGGTCCCAGGACAAAGTGGTGCTTTTGCTGCAAGCAATTGCCATCATTTTGTCTCTTCTACACAGCGCGCACGATAAAATCCCCTCCTCTGGAATGTCATGTACCCTGCAGGAGAAGTAGACGAGCCTTCTTGTTCCAGCCAGATGCTGCACCTGCAATTTGGAAAAGCTGGCATGTGGCAGTCGCGTGTGGGGCAAAGATAGAACAGCTTGGCAAACAAGCAATTGCTGTTGACCATGTTGCATTCCAAGCGGCATTGATGGCCGGTGCTCCAGGCGTACCAGCCTTCAATTGAATCTCCCTGCCTTGGCACGAAAGACTGCCATTTGGTTTGGGGCCAAGATCGAAAGCGAGCGAAAGATTGCAAAACCTTTGTTTTTAGCAAGGAGGGCCGACCATGACGAAGCCAAATGTTGGTTTTATGGCGACAAAACTGGGCCCCTTCGCAGATGACAATGTGCTTTTCTCGAAAGCAAGGCTGGTTGCAATTACGTTACATGTTTTCATGCCTTTGCACGCGTTGACAAAATTTCTCGAGTGGT